CTGGCCGCCCCCCCTGGCTTAGCAGCCGCTGCGCACAGGGACGATCGGCCGGGTTACTTCGCCCCAGAATTTTCTTCTTTCGGAGGGGGAAGGCCGCGCCGGGCAGCCGAAAGGAAATGCCTGAGTCTGGAGCCTCGCGGGGAGGGCGGCCCCCTCCCGGCCTCCGCCTGGATCGACGCCGGGTGGCCAGAGGGACTTCGGGACGTGCGGGAGACTGTCCTCCCGAGGGCTACTCCCGGGCCTCCTCCTGGAAGGCAGAACAGGGAAGGCCTGGTTCCGGGGCGGTGGCTGCATCGGATCCCGCAGTTACTGGGAAGTTGCTAGAGGAAGGCTCCCAGCCCCACCGCCCGGCCCTCCCTTCGCCCGGCCCCACCCCCAGCGCTTCCCGCTGGCGGCGTGGCAGGCCCTGGCGGGCGGAAGTGGCCCCTAGCCGTCTGAGGCAGTGCAGATTTGCAAACCTACATTCGTTGAGCACCTACTATGCACTAGGCAGGAGCCTAAAGACTGGGGATGTAGTTGACAGAGTGGACGAGGCTTTCCTGCCACCCAGCCTCTCAAGCTTACAGCCTTTTAAAAAGGGACTATGAACTAGAAAGGTTGGTGACCACCTCTGACCCCTGTACTCAGGAGGCTGAGGTCATGAGTTCAAGGGCGCCCTGGGCTACATAGGCAGACCCTGTCTCAAAAACAAAGACCCCGCAGTCAGATGTTCTGAAAGGAAGCTGACAGGAGTACAGGGTGATTCTCCAGGAGTGATTCCTCCCCACAAGTCCTGCCCAAACCATGGGGGTAGCTGAGGTGTGCTGTTGGGATGGAGAGGAGAGCTGGAGGGAGGAGAAAATTATAGTTTTTACAGGGCTGGACCCAGGCTTGATGCCCAGCCTCATACCTGAGTTTTATCCTGGAACCTATATAGAGGAAGGAGAGAGGCAGTCCCACAGTTACCCTCTGAGCTCTTCATGTGGTAAGCACATGTACACACACACACACACACACACACACACACACACACACACTAAATGTTTGTAAAAAGAAAGAACAGTGCTTTTATGTTGCAAAGGACTTATGCCTGCATTAATCCCATGGCATGTATTCACTCTGCACTTTAATGCTAATACATACTATTAGACATTAGCACTAATATCTATTGCTAATGAGTAGTACCTTCTCTGCTTTTCCTATAGAGGAACTAGTGCTCAAGCAGGTCTGAAGATTGCTCGAGGTCACATGGCCTTTGCAGAGCTGTGCCTTGAACTCAGGTGCTTACATCTGAAGGACCCAGAGGGCAGGATGCCCAAGGAAGGGGCCCACAGGTCCCTTTTCATCCTCTGGGCATTTTTCTGAATCTGAGTCCTTCCAGGACTCTACTGAGACCTGGAAAGCCTGTGCTTTTTCATAGCATGGATTCTCCCAGAAGCAATCTGAATTTATTTGAACAGTCATCTGTATTTGTTCACACTTAATCATATCTTGCTGCTGTGTAAGTAGAGCAAGGGTGGATGAGCTGAAGCATATGAGAGCCTGCCCACAGTCTGGAACCAGAACACAGGGTCCACCTAGCATTAAAGCAGATCTTGATTGAACCAGTTGGTGCTAAGCAGAAGTGTGTGTGTGTGTGTGTGTGTGTGTGTGTGTGTGTGTGTGTGTGCGCGCGCGCGCGCCCATTTGGTGTATTCATTCACATGTATATATGAAGGCTATAAGTCAACTTTTGGTGCTATTTCTTGGGTCCACCTTATTTTTCGAGAGAGGGTCTCTCACTGGGGCCTGAAGTTGCTGACTCAGCTGGCCAGTGAGCTCAGGTGTGGGACCACAAGCTAGTGCCATCATGTCCAGCCCCTTCACACCTGTCTTCCTCCAGTAGATCTGGGGATGGAACTAGGGTCTTCATGCTTGTGCAGCAAATATTTTATTGACTGAGCCATCTCTCAGCCTCCAGACCTGTTTTAGATCCCACCTGTGCTGGTGCCAGAATCCCAGGGAATTCCTAGGGAGCTGCTGGTCTTCAGTCCATGCTGGAATTCCAAAGAAGTAGGTTCTACCATCAGTGTAGCAGCAACCAAGAATGGATGAACTTGCCATCAAGAGTGAGAGCAGGTAGGCAAAAAGCAAAAGCTTCTGTCTTCTTTGTCCTTTTATTTGGGATGCCACCAGAATCTAAGGCCCACATTTAGGGTGAATAGTCCCACTTCAAATGATCTAATCAAGAAAATCCTTCACAGAAGCACCCAGCTGCTTGGGTTTTAGTTGATTACAGATGTGGTCAAGAGGGCAACCAAGATTTGCCATCACACCCTCCTTCTGACAACCTGATACACAGTCACATCACCTTATGCCATGCTTAATTTCCAAACAAAAACAATAACTAGGTCATAATTTTGCCAAACATGATATAACTAGCCACATACCATCACTAATGCAGTATATATTTTAGAACAAGTGGCAATGTCTCTTAAGGAATGCTTAGTGTTCCAGTGTCTTATGACTTAATAGTCACTGATATTATCTCAACCTATATTATATTACATGATAGAGAAATAGAAGAAAGTGAAAATATCTGCTTAATGTATGTGTTCATATGTATAAACACATTCTTAGCAAAAATACAACAGAAACACTCATATCAGCTATAATCCTCATGTCCACAATTGGTGGTAGCAGTCCATGCCTTTAATCCCAGCACTCAAGAGGCAGAGACAGGAGGATCTCTGTGAATTCAAAGACAGCATGGTCTACAGAGTGAGTTCCAGGATAGACTCCAAAGCTGCAGAGAAACCCTGTCTCAAAAAAAAAAAAAAACCCAAACAAAACAACAAAAAACCCTACCTTCCTTGACTACCCATTCTGTTTTTCCTCCACTCTCATCAAGCACCTCAGCAGGTCTTGGCTCCTTTCTTGGAGGAGTGACACATCCCTTCATTCCTGGGGGATGGTGCCATATCTTGGGCTCAGTGCTGGTCTGTTGTTGGCAGATCTGGCACTCAGCAGTAGCTGTAGCCAGGTCACTTTTTGGTGACTGGAAGTTGCTGAGCCCATGTGTAACCTGCATCTCTACCACCACAGTCACTTTGTTCATGGGTCTATTGGGCTATGACAGGGATGGAAAGAGACTGTCCATAGAACGAGTATTAGATAAGAGGTTACATACTAATTAACAAGTTGAAAGGGACAGAAATACAGCCAGACATGATTTAAGGAAAAACATGCTGTGTTAATGGAGGAGTCCATGGTGAACCTACTTCAGGTTCAGCTGGATCTAGGTCCCATAATCCCATGTGAACCTGCTTTCCCTCTTCCTCTTAACTCTAGTTTCTCCTAAATGGGCTGAGCTTTGACAGGTCACCTCTATATCCCATGACTAGCCTAGCTTCACATTTTTTCTGGGTTCAGAGGAAAAGAGTCTTGCTTTCCTCAAAGTTGTAACCAACCAATTGCTGTGCCTTGGGATAGTGTCGGGTCATGTGTGAAAAGTGGCCAAGTAAGAAAGGGCACTGATTGCTTTTCCCTGGATGGTGCTCCCACCTCCAAATTCTATGTTGCAGCCCACCCTCCAAGATGACTGAATATGGAGATAGTGCTTTGGGAGATTCACTAAGGTTAAATGAGGTGATAAAGATGGGGTCCTCATTTGATAGGAACTGTGGTCTTGTGAAGAGACATGGATGCCTGGCTATGCACACTCTCCAAGGAAAGATCACGAAGACACAGGGAGGGGTGTCCATCTCCAAGCTAGGAAAGCAGCCCTCCTCAGAAACTGAACCCCGGCAGAACTTCCCAGCCTTCAGACTTAGGCATAGATAAAGTTCCATTGTTTAAGTCACTTAACCTGTGGTATTTGCTGACTAATGCGCTGGGTACCCAGCCCTTGGAACAGGACACAGGGTCATGGAGGCAGGGGTGTTTCCCCAGAGAAAGTCACAGTGCTGAAGGAGGAGGGGTGGGGAAGAGCAGAGGCTGCCCAATTTTGTCTTAACCTTGCTTTGCTCTGGTCATTGCATCTCTAGAGTAGGAAGGGTTGTGACACTTACTAGGTGATTAATTCCCCCTATTAGATATAGTGGCACACTTCTCCGACCTCCTCTCCCCAAACAATGGCAACGCTGAAGATTAGAGTCAGCAAACACTTATGTGAGGGCCCACCCTGTGAATAGTTTCAAATGGTGAGCCAGATTCCCACAACTGCTCAGGTCTGCTCAGGAGCCCCAGCAAAGCTCTGTTCACTTCCTGGGGACACCAGAACAAAGTCATACAGAGTGGCTGAAACATGAAACTACCAGGCATGGGGACTTGTAATCCTGAGA